AACCTCAAGTCTTTGGGGCGGTAAGGGCCACCAGCTTTGCACATCTAGAAATGGAAATGTTCTTCCATCCCTCTTTCCAAACAAGCTGTAGCTCCGTCCGATTGGATTGGAATACAAGCCTGAAGATGCTCGATTGGATTGAGGCCTTTGAGTGGGTCATTTTAAAGCGTCCATTGTAGCTCTTGCTGTATGTTGAGGGCCTTTGTCGTACTGGAAGAGGAACCTCTGCCCCAGTTTCACGTTTTTTGGCATGGTGCATGGTGTATCTGCTGAAGATACAGGGATGCGTGATGCTGCCAGCACCGCGTGTCCCTGTAGGATGCTGCGCTCAGCGTGGTGGACAGTGTTTGGTGTCCTCCACACCGCGTATTGCGTTGAGGCCAAAAGGTTCCATTTTAGTCTCTTCTGAGCAGAGCACCTTGTTCCACATGTAGCTGTGTGTCACACATGACTCGTGGTAAACTTGAAGCAGAATTTCTTCTGGTTTACTTTCAACAGCGCCTTTCTTCTTGCAACTCTTCCATAAAGGACAGACTTGGAGGACATGGCTAATTGTTCTCCTGTCGACAAGTTGTCTCCTTCAGCTGTGGACCTTTGCAGCTCCTCCAGTGTTCCCATGAGCCTCTTGGTTGCCTCTCTGATCCACGTCCTTTGTGTCTGGGTGGACAGGCTTGTGTTCGTGGGTTTGTGTTTGTGCCCTATTCTTTCCTCTTTTGATGTTATGGTGCTTTGTGAGCTTCATACTACGCTACAACTTTAACCCTGAGCTGTTGGGTGAGCTCCTTGGTCTCTGTGATGTCTACATAATGAAATCCATTTTGAATGTGTCTTTATACCATATGACAAAACATGGAAAGGTCTAAGGGGACTTATGCAAGGTATTGCATAATTGAATGTGAGGAAGAAGCAGTTGATATGTTCCAACATCAAGTAATTTAATCTGTTTCCTGTCTGGTTTTCTCTAGATTCCCGTTGCGTGCAAGTCCTGTCCATGTGGTTATGTGTTTATCAGCAGGAAGCTTCTCAATGCCAAATTAAATGAGCGCTCCTCTCCAGCTATAGCAGGTAAGGTTCAGCCTGCATGATTGATGCCTGGAAATGTTCCACCTTGTGTTTGCTCTTTGTTTGATTATTCTGCCTGTGTGTTGAGCAAATATTGTTAGTTGTAAGACATTGTTCAGTGCTGTTCTTTATTAGGTAAAGTCTGCCGTGGATCTGAACACACAGCATAAAGAGATGGAACTGAAACGTTGTGGATCTATTGAGCACGCTCTCTCAAGCTCGTCCTGCGGGACCAAACCAGTGGATTTTAGCAGCTAACGTGTTTTAATCAGATTTCTGCTCATGCAAAACCTTCTGCAGAATCTAAAAGTTGGTACAACATGAAGTCCTCAGACGGATGAAGGGTGAGGGAAATAATCATTTAGAAAAGGCCTTTTATGAATATGGAGAGAAGTCTGGCATGTGGCTGGACCTCCTCAGAACAAGCTGCAGTGACTTCCCCCCCCCCCGGTCAGTTCAACCAGGACGTTCTTCTGCCTGCAAAGGCCACTTCTTAACAAATGTGATTTCCATATGTGGTGGTGCACTAGAACCTCTAACCCACACTGCGTCCGTGTTGTCCTTCAGACAAGCTGGACTTCAAGCGGAGGAGGACGGAACGCATCCGCAGAGAAAGGATAGACTCCTCTTTAACCAGCGACATGGAGAACAGGAGACGGTCCCGAGCCAACAGTCAATCGGATCCCATTCGGAGGGGGCGGGGCAGACCCAAAACAGTGGGTCTGAAGAAGCAGGAGGAGGAGAAAGGTAAAGTCCTCTGCACCTAAATGTCCTTTAGACGTTCTTATGCCGCGCGTATAGTACTGAGGGTACCAAAGCAAGGACTCTCTGGAAAGGAACTCTTAAGAAGATTCCGGTCTAAAATGTGTGTGGCTGCTCAGGCTTATTGGCCTGATGACAAGCGTTCTCATGGACGTGCACTGAGCGGCAGTGAGGTCAGCAGAGATGATGGAGTTAACGTTGGAACTAAGAGCCGTTTGTTCTCAGCAGTGTTAATTTCAGCGACGAAAACTATGACGAAAATTTTTTCCATGACTAAGATGAGACGAAGACATGACAAAACGATATCAAAAAATAGCGGTGCAGCGGTGGTTCTTGTGCACCGACTATGGGCCGCGACGAATGTGGCTTCGTTAGTTGACGCTCCGTTACAAACGCATCTAACATAATACATCACATGTCATTTAGCTGACGCTTTTATCCAAAGCGACGTACAATAAGTGCATTTCAACCATAAAGAAACAAACTCAGAAGAACAAAGAACAAAAAAGTGCATTTTCCTCAAATAAGCCAATTTACAACTTGCTGTAGATAAGAATCGTTATAAGTCCAATGTAAGTGCTCCAGTTAGTTAGTGTGTTAGTGGAGGTAGAGTCTGAAGAGGTGTGTCTTTAGTCTGAAGATGTGAAGGCTCTCTGTGGTCCTGATGTCTTCAGAGACCTCCTTCCACCATTTAGGAGCAGGACAGCAAAGATTGGAGATCTAGTCGAGTGTTTTGCTCTCAGTGAGGAGGAACAAGCAGTTTATCAGATGCAGAGCGGAGAGTGCGGGTCGGGATGTCGGGTTGGACCAGGTCCTGGATGGAAGCTGGACCCCATCCATTCACAGCGTGGTACCTGAGCACCAGTGGTTAGAACTGGATGAGCCACCGGTACCAGTGAAGAGAGCGGAGGAGTGGAGGAGTGAGGGAGAACTTAGGAAGGTTAAAGACCAGTGAAGCTGCTGCATTCTGGATGAGCTGCAGAGGCTAAATGGTGGTAGCAGGAGACCTGCAGGAGAGAGTTACAGTAGTCCAGGAGGGAGACGACCAGAGCCTGAATCAGTACCTTCTGAGTGAGAAGAGGACGTGTTCTCCTGATGTTGTAGAGCGAGTATCTACAGGATCGTGTTGTCAGTGATGTTGGAGTCAGGGAGAGTCGGCTGTCGATGTCACGCCGAGGTTCCTGCAGTCAAAGTGGACGTTAACACGGAGTCTCAAAGTTAACAGTCAGGTCCTGTGAAGGAGAATCTTTTCCCGGAAAGAGAAGTAGTTCAGTCTTGTCGAGGTTGATTTTCAGATGGTGGGCGGATCCACTGAGAGATGTCAGTCAGACAGGCAGAGATTCGAGTGAGGAAAGGAGAGAAGTAGTTGGGTGTCATCAGCACAGCTGTGGTAGGAGAAGCCATGCGAGCGAATAACAGCACCGAGAGAGTTGGTGTAGAGCGAGAAGGGGATGGGACCCAGGACGGAATGGAATAATAAAGTCATTGCAGGTTCTGTAGCCAAGAAAATAATGTATTGCAGCGATTGTAGGATGTTAAGGTATCTTTTGTTGGGACAGTGGAAACAATAAAGGAGCATGAAGTGTCAAAAGCATTGCAAGTAAACAGACAAAGACAACAAAGTGTTGCGTTTAGATCCCTGGTCCTCATGAAGTTGTTACACCTTTGCCAATTTGTTAAATTGCCTTGCAAATAAATGCTTTGCTATTTGTTAATGTAATTATAATGATGTTTCACATGTCATTTATATCAGCTCACACAAACACTTCAACCATTTGTTCTTGGCCCGCCTCCTCCGTCACATTTTCAACCCACTGTGGCTGCGAGTCGAAAAGTTTGCCGACCTGCTATAGACCTGTCCTAGGAGGGACATCTATAGGCCCGTCCTATAGGAGGGACATCTATAGGCCCGTCCTATAGGAGGGACATCTATAGGCCCGTCCTATAGGAGGGACATCTATAGGCCCGTCCTATAGGAGGGACATCTATAGGCCCGTCCTATAGGAGGGACATCTATAGGCCCGTCCTATAGGAGGGACATCTATAGGCCCGTCCTATAGGAGGGACTATTATGCAGCTGTAGACACAACACAGGGGTCCCTGAGAAGGGAAGAAAAGGAGTTTAATATGGATATTAAATGTGACTAAAACTAATTACATTTTAGTTTATTTTTCGTCGACGAAAACTAAGGATTAAAATGACTAAATGTGACTAAAACTAATATGCATTTTTCGTCTAAAGACTAAATCAAAAGTAGCTGCCAAAATTAACACTGGTTCTCATGTGTATTTAAAACACGTCTGTTACCAACGTCATCTCCCTTTGTCTGCATATAAACGGTTCCACCTGTCACTCAGACCACCCATCCCGTCAGTATTTAGAATACTACACTAGTTGTGACTGTCCTCTGGGGGAACCAGGGCATCGCTTGATGTGGATCCAGGTGAATAGTTCTTGAGGAGGAAGCATTGAGTCTGACCTTTTCTTAATCTCACAAGCTCCTTGTGCCTGATAGCGTTTCATTGTGTCCACAGAGAAGCAAGACAAGGAGGTGGATATCTACGCCAGTCTGTCAGACGAGAAGGCCTTCGTGTTTTCTGTGGCCTTGGCTGAGATCAACCGTAAGATCTTGGGTCAGAGACTCATCTTATAGATTAGGGCCTGAATGTCCTGGCACAGAGGACCTGTCACAGAGAAACTATCCAACAGCAAGAGGACGACCAAAGAAGGCTGACCGGAGCAGAACTCTGATCTGGAAGTCGTTCGCTCGGTGATGGGAAGAGATCCAGAAGCTGCTGGAGCTGCAGACTGAAGCAGAGTCATGGGGAGATCACAGCTCTTTTGCACCATGTATTATAAACCCACCACACACACACATGTAAACATGTTTCTACAGTATGCAGTGTGTGTTGTAACGTTATACAGTGATATTTCCTAACTCCTCTGCAGATACAAAAATCTAAAGAAATACTACATTCATCTGGAATAATGGAGCTTAACGTTAATTGGAGGGACCCAGATTTAATGTCAGCTGTGCACTTTCTTATTAACTGGAGAGGCAATAAAACTGATTATTAGATTGCTATTGCTAAGTGATGTTCTATGCACAGTACACACATGTATTTATTACTTGAACAGATGAAGTTCAATTCACCTTGATCTCAATTGGACCTGGGAACAAAAAGTGCAATCGCCTAAAGATGGTGTCCAGCTTTCACAGTTTTATAAAGGAAGTCAGAAGCGCTGA